GTTGGTAAGCCATTGCTGTATCATTTTCGAATCAATACCAATTATAATAGTGGTTAAAATGACATGGCGAATTCTGTCGCCGAAATCAGGTCGGCAAGTTTATCTCGTGGAAATTAATCTACCTTTCAGCCAAAATAAGTCGTTCGTTACTGAACCTAACAAGCGTCGAATAAGTTGAGTTTAGAAGTCGATAACATATGAACAGCATTATTGAATAACTTGAGTACGACATTGATTGGAAGATCATGTTCATAAACCTGATTTCGACGACAGTCATTGCAGATGTATTTTTGGGAGTATGTACAAAACTGAAATTAGTTTATTTACATTTTAGGTACTTTGTCTTGGTATCTAGGTTCGTAAGCCATTGCTGTATCTTTCTCGAATCAATACCAATTATAATAGTGGTTAAAATGACATGGCGAATTCTGTCGCCGAAATCAGGTCGCCAAGTTTATCTCGTGGAAATTAATCTACCTTTCTGCCAAAATAAGTCGTTCGTTACTGAACCTAACAAGCGTCGATTAAGTTGAGTTTAGAAGTCGATAACATATGAACAGCATTATTGAATAACTTGAGTTCGACAATGATTGGAAGATCATGTTCATAAACCTGATTTCGACGACAGTTACTGCAGATGTGTTTTTAGATGTATATACATAGCTAAAATTTGTTCATCTAAGTTTTTTCTACTTTGTCTTGGTATCTAGGTTCGTAAGCCATTGCTGTATCTTTCTCGAATCAATACCAATTATAATAGTGGTTAAAATGACATGGCGAATTCTGTCGCCGAAATCAGGTCGGCAAGTTTATCTCGTGGAAATTAATCTACCTTTCAGCCAAAATAAGTCGTTCGTTACTGAACCTAACAAGCGTCGAATAAGTTGAGTTTAGAAGTCGATAACATATGAACAGCATTATTGAATAACTTGAGTACGACATTGATTGGAAGATCATGTTCATAAACCTGATTTCGACGACAGTTATTGCAGATGTATTTTTAGATGTACATACATAGCGAAATTTTGTTCATCTAAGTTTTTTCTACATTGTCTTGGTATCTAGGTTGGTAAGCCATTGCTTTAACTTTCTCGAATCAATACCAATTATAATAGTGGTTTAAATGACATGGCGAATTCTGTCGCCGAAATCAGGTCGCCAAGTTTATCTCGTGGAAATTAATCTACCTTTCAGCCAAAATAAGTCGTTCGTTACTGAACCTAACAATCGTCGATTAAGTTGAGTTTAGAAGTCGATAACATATGAACAGCATTATTGAATAACTTGAGTACGACATTGATTGGAAGATCATGTTCATAAACCTGATTTCGACGACAGTTATTGCAGATGTGTTTTTAGATGTACATACATAGCGAAATTTTGTTCATCTAAGTTTTTTCTACTTTGTCTTGGTATCTAGGTTGCTAAGCCATTGCTGTAACTTTCTCGAATCAATACCAATTATAATAGTGGTTAAAATGACATGGCGAATTCTGTCTCCGAAATCAGGTCGCCAAGTTTATCTCGTGGAAATTAATCTACCTTTCAGCCAAAATAAGTCGTTCGTTACTGAACCTAACAATCGCCGATTAAGTTGAGTTTAGAAGTCGATAACATATGAACAGCATTATTGAATAACTTGAGTTCGACAATGATTGGAAGATCATGTTCATAAACCTGATTTCGACGACAGTTATTGCAGATGTGTTTTTAGATGTATATACATAGCTAAAATTTGTTCATCTTAGTTTTTGTTACTTTGTTTGGTATCTAGGTTGGTAAGCCATTGCTGTATCATTTTCGAATCAATACCAATTATAATAGTGGTTAAAATGACATGGCGAATTCTGTCGCCGAAATCAGGTCGCCAAGTTTATCTCGTGGAAATTAATCTACCTTTCAGGTTCGGTACTGAACCTCACAATCATCGTTGGAGTTGAGTTTAGAAGTTGATAACATATGAACAGCATTATTGAAAAACTTTAGTTCGACAATGATTGGAAGATCATGTTCATAAACCTGATTTCGATGACAGTTATTGCAGATGTGTTTTTAGATGTATATACATAGCTAAAATTTGTTCATCTTAGTTTTTTTTACTTTGTTTGGTATCTAGGTTGAAAAGCGATTGCTGTATCTTTCTCGAATCAATACCAATTATAATAGTGGTTTAAATGACATGGCGAATTCAGTCGCCGAAATCAGGTGGCCAAGTTTATCTCGTGGAAATTAATCTACCTTTCAGCCAAAATAAGTCGTTCGTTACTGAACCTAACAAGCGTCGATTAAGTTGAGTTTAGAAGTCGATAACATATGAACAGCATTATTGAATAACTTGAGTACGACATTGATTGGAAGATCATGTTCATAAACCTGATTCGACGATAGTTATTGCAGATGTGTTTTTAGATATATATACATAGCGAAATTTTGTTCATCTAAGTTTTTTCTACTTTGTCTTGGTATCTAGGTTCGTAAGCCATTGCTGTATCTTTCTCGAATCAATACCAATTATAATAGTGATTAAAATGACATGGTGAATTCTGTCGCCGAAAACAGGTCGCCACGTTTATCTCGTGGAAATTAATCTACCTTTCAGGTTCGGTACTGAACCTCACAATCATCGCTGGAGTTGAGTTTAGAAGTTGATAACATATGAACAGCTTTATTGAAAAACTTGAGTACGACATTGATTGGAAGATCATGTTCAAAACACAAGTTTATATCGTGGAAATTAATCTACCTTTCAGCCAAAATAAGTCGTTCGTTACTGAACCTAACAATCGTCAATTAAGTTGAGTATAGAAGTCGATAACATATGAACAGCATTATTGAATAACTTGAGTTCGACAATGATTGGAAGATCATGTTCGTAAACCTGATTTCGATGACAGTTATTGCAGATGTGTTTTTAGATGTATATACATAGCTAAAATTTGTTCATCTTAGTTTTTGTTACTTTGTTTGGTATCTAGGTTGGTAAGTCATTGCTGTATCTTTTTCGAATCAATACCAATTATCATACTGATTGAAATCACATGCCGACATCTGTCGCCGCAATCAGTTCGTTACAATTATTACGAGGAAAATAATTCTCTGACAAATCAGAAAAAATAATTTATTGTATTAACCTCTCATATATCGATTATGTGGACTTTACTAGTTAATTTATTAATGTGAAAATGACAAAGATGATGGAAAATCTCTTTCATTACTTGTATTTTCACGGACTCATCGATTTTTTATGACAAAGTTCTTTGTTATCGAAAACTTTATAATGTACGGTATTGTTAATTTTTGACAGTTGGTCAGTACGAAATTTGATTGATCTCGTTTCATACATTCTATTAATAATCTCATCCTACTTCAAATAACGGGTCGTATGTTGAAATAACTTCACCTTTATCATGGGAATATTAATATGCCGACAGTCTGAAATGCCCTTAAAATATTATTTGGAAGACAAATCTTTCAAAGTACTCATACTGATGTCTGCATAAGTTTGTGTCATGTCTGCATAAGTATCGTCCCACTTATGAAACCGATCGTACAATTTATTATTTACTTATTATTTATCTTATGCGTGTGTAAGAAGGGTTGGGTATATAAATCATCAATTATATAATATATATATATATATATATCAGTTTCTAAATTCTTTAGCATTATAATCATCGTAATCTGGTCGTCACGTCTATTATGGGAAGAATTATTTACCGACAGTCTGCAACGTCTGCATAAGTATGGTTCGGATGGTAAAGTTTCCAATGTCATTATGCGTACGTCCGCATAAGTTGGTATCATGTCTTCATAAATTTCGTCTGTATCATGCGGACGTCCGCATAATTTTCATCCGACTTATGCGGACGTCCGCATATTTTTTATCCGACTTATGAGGACGTCCGCATAATTTTTATCCGACTTATGCGGACTTCTGCATAAGTTTCGTCCAACTTATGCAGACACATCCACATAAGTCGGGATGTATGTATAATTTACTAAATATTGAATTTATCCATTTCTAATTTGTTTAACATAATAAAATTTCCATAACTATAATACAGATTAGATTTTGAACCATTCACGCATGTCAAAAGATAATTTTTTTTTTCGTCCGCATAAGTATACTTTTATCGACATATATATATATATATATATATATATATATATATATATATATATATATATATATATATATATATATATATATATATATATATATATATATATATATATATAATATGTAAAATATATAAAAACGGTGTTCAATATAAAATTTTACCACGATGTTAAAATACAATGAATATATTATTCACATTTTGGTTTAGAAATTATTGTTGTTATCTTACGTTATATTTTGTCTTCATATGAATTTTCAAAACCAATTGAGTTAAATAATGAACCTTTATCATTATATATCATCTTCAAAATATTCACATAATTTGATTACATTGTTTTGTTAGTTCTGAAAATATCAGGCATTTTAATTATAAATTCAACAAAAAGAAATAACAACGTATTACTTTTTACAATATTATAATTTTGTTTAAAAGGATTTACTTTATACATTTTTTGAACATCTTTGAATTACTTTTCTTAACATGTCTTACCGAAATCATCATTCCCATTTTCATTCAATCCATTGTTGTTTTGGGAATCATCATTCGTAACGGAAACATTACACATAAAAAAATTGCATATATCTATAGGTTGTTAATAAATAATAGCAACATAATTTATTTATGTATTTTGTCCATTTTGTTTTCTAAACAAATAGTTAAAACTGGCGAATGTTGAATCAAGCATTTTGTAACAGAAAATTTTCCATTAATCCAATGCCTATGAGATAATAAAACAAATAGGTCAAACGTGTATTGAAAATATTTACAAGTACAATACCGAAGTAAAATTGCAAAGTTGTACAAACAATTAGACTTCCAATGAGGATATTTTCTAATTTTGTTTTCATGGTTTTTAGTTAAATCATATTTCCAACTTACGTGATTCATTCAACTTCAAATATTTTTTAGGAGGAGATCCGTCAGGCATCAAACCAACATAAACAAGGGTTTGACATCGCATGTTCATTTTTTTCATCAAATTGATTTCTTAGGTCGTTATTCTTATTTGAGACATGAGATACTTTACTTTACTTGTGAAATTATCTTCAGCTTCTTCGAATATTAAATTCGATGAACAATTCTCTTTATTACTACTATCGTAAAAATATTTTTTGTGTCGAAGTTTCTGGTTTTTCTTATCTTATTCTTCATGGATTATTTGTTCATGAACCGAGTCAATATCACCGTCGCTATAGCTAAGAACCAACTCTTCTTTGCTCTTTGCTACTCTATAACTATCTGAAATTATTCGTTGTTATTAATGAATCTATAAATTTTAAAAATATATTCTTATTGAATAAAATTAACTGTTGTATTAAAGGTTTGTAAAAGCAAGATTTTGTTACACCCCGAAGGAAAAATGAAAAAAAAAACCGTTTAAATTTAATCATAAGAAACAAAATCATTTTTTTTCTCGCTTTTAGTGAACTATTGTTTCATTACTAACAGTGAAAAAGCAATCAAAGTAAAATTCTACACTAGGAAACCCCTAATGCAAGTATCTAACCGCTGATTCTGTCAGAAAGCTTTTTATAAAAGTTTTTCCACAAACACAAATAGCAAAAACAGACGAAATCAACATATGACACGGGAGTATGAGCTAGATGTAAATCAACTATGTTACGAACGAATATTAGGAAGAGTAGATCATAATTCCTCCACACATCAAAAACCAAAACTCTGTAACTTGGAATGCACTGAGGTGAAGATATGAAAAACCCGTCACCACAAAATAGTCGAGATGGAATAAAGATTACACTACTCCTTTTCTTTCACACTTATCACATCCATAGTTGACCCTTTCTTCTTATATTTTCTCCTATGAAAATCCAGTATGTTCTCCGTCGACTGCAACTGTCTCACTTCAACATATACTGAATGTTACATTCTCTCCTTCAAAACTCTCCCTCCCTACTTCCACTCTCTAAAAATCATAGCCAAGGTAAAACTAACTTTCTTCGAGGAAAATTGTCAATAAAAGGGAGTGAAAACCTGAACATGGAGCTCTTCTGCACGACCTCTCATTCGAGTCTCATGAAGTCTTGCGAACTTTCTAATTCACCTACGTCAAAATTCAATTGTTCTTTTTTTTCTGTATAAAACAAGAAATAAATTCTGCAGTTTATGTTGAGATATAAACGCTTTTATTCATTTAAATCTCACTAATAACTGATCCTTCGATAAACTTGTACTGCTATGATTGGCTGTGAATGGCATACTCTTGCAAGAATGTAGCACTCTCGTACTACAGGCATTTATACAGTGTGACACAAAAACCACAACATCAACAGCGAGAAGCCTAAGATGCAGTTGCCCACTAAGCCAGTGATAGAGCCTGTAGGACGAGAACAATCTCACCGAGTACAAGAAGTTTTCCAAGTATACCGCAAGGTATGAGAGCTAATGACTCTCATTACCTGAGATTAAATTTTGTATTCTTCATCCTACCTCGTTGTCCAATGAACTTTTTCTTGTATCTATTTATTGTTATCGTACTACAATAAGGGTTCTATTACCGAATTTTACTTTCTCTTCGCACGTTGTTCATGACTTCATATACTTTCAGCTCGGATGTAATAATCTCCTAATTTTGTTTCCCCTGTCTGAAATATATTAACGTATTTACACGGCATCCGTACAGGATACTGTTCAAAGTACATACGTAAATCGTGCGGATTTCGTCCAGAATCCGTACGGAGTCCGTATGAGTGCCGCACGGATCTTATATATAATCTCTAACTGAACTGTAAATACAAACTCAAACATTTTTGACTAGAAATTTTAAGCAATTGTCAAAACAACATTCCATTTTCGAGTCTGATTGAGCAGCGAGAGCAAATATTTAATGAAATGAGACGTAATAAAAAATTTATTTATTCTTGCAATTATAATATTTAATTTAACTTGGTGCTGTAATACAAAAAAATCTGTAAATAATTTTCATAAATACTTGAAAAAAACGACGATTAGTTTAGTACTGCGTGGCATTGCGTCTGATTTTCCAATCTACTACCATGAAAAAAATGCAGTACTTGGATTATATTATTCTTATTTTATTATTATCAGTTTACCTGAAAACTGAATAAATTAACGAAAATACAATGTATCTTATCTTAACTCGATCAGTTCTACCGCATCATTGATTCTTATCACTTTCGAAAACAACATAAACACGATACGTACACAAATATAAAATATTTAAAAAATTCATTAATAATTATAATTAAATAATATACGATAGACTTTTAACAAACTCATTAATATTAAAAATAAATTTTTACCTGCACTTGCGTGAATCCAAACTTCGTACTTTGGCCACGTTATTTTGACGTTGGTACATTTTGATACTAATTTTATGATATCAAATATAATTTGAGTATTATGTCAATAACACTCAAAAATACTAGATTCCATAGTTGGTTCAATGATTTCATTGTTGGAAACTATCCAATTAATCGGTACTGCTCGTACTTTTCCATCTTTAAATTTCACGATTTTCTATTTCTTAATATCAGTATATTTTTAGACATTCTGTAGATATGGAGGTCTTGCGTAGAAAGTATAAGTATGGTATCAAACCGCTATTTAAAGTGTACCACGCGCATGCCTCTTTGTCAAACTGCAGCCACTAAATTAAAATTTGAAACCTGTCGAAATGTGCTATAAGCTTGAACTCACTTGTTTTTTCCGGCCGTAGCATATGCAGTAATGGTGTACAATAGTAATGTTCCAGAAACTAATGATTAAAACATTGAAGTCGAAACTAACATATTATTTTTCAGAAAGGAACGCAGGAGATGCTATGAAACTACCAAACATCCATCTAAAAGTATGTAGGAGAAGCACATATGTGGCTGAGGGAAAAAAGGAGAAGCAAACGTATATCTGGTTTATCACGCTTGCTGTTAGGCGGAGCGAAGCAACAATGCGTTTCCTCTGGCTTCGATTTCCATTCAATTCATATTTTTTAATTATGAATAATTACAATTCTTCAATTATCTAGAATGATGACAAATAACCACAACTCAAGCCACTTATTCTATGTAATTTTCGGATATCCCCTTTCAGTGTGTCAATAGCTGAGATGATTAATACATGTTACTTGATTTCCTTTCTTTTCAGTTTCCAGACTCCTTTTTTTTTTTGAAAAAAGTAATAGATTTTATCTTTATCTAGTCTACCCCTACGGATTATTACCTTTTATTTATAAAAATAATTGTTAAATTATTATTTAATACTAACCATTATTATGACTTCGATAAATCGCATAATACTTTTAATAACAAAAACATTCCATTACATCCATCTTTTAGATCGTTAAAAAATAAAAGATACGTATTTCCTTTTTCTGATCAATGCAAAAGTAACCAAGTTACATACGTGGAAAAGTTGGCCGCAACTATAGCGATACAATACAATTTATGACGTCACAAGTAACTTTTTCACGCTTTATACTCGTATGTGAGCAAATTTTCTATTAATCGAAAAAAGGAAAGATAAGTATCATTTATTTTTCTAAGATCCAAAATTTTAACATAATAGAATTATTGCGTTATTTAAAAATAATTATGTAATTTATCTTATTTATAGTGATAATGACGTTAAGTATGAAATAACGACTTAACAATTACTTTACAAATAAAACGTAGTGAATCATTCACAGGTGTAGAATAGATAAACGTAAAATTGATTGGCTTGTTAAAAAAAAAGTTTTCCGAACGAGTATCGAACCCGAGAAAATGGCAAAAAGAAAGTCAAACTTAGTCATTTCATCTCCGGAACATTTACTGAGGTATGAGAAAGATGGCTATGAAAGCTATAGTGTCTGTGTATGTAAAATAACATGAACAGACATAAATGCTGTCTCTCTCACTTCGTACGCTAATTGTATGACTGCTCGCTCTTACTCTCATCATCTAGTTCTGTTTTTGGTATTATTGTATTATATACAGATTGCATACAACCTTACGTATATCAGTGTGCGTTGTTGCTAAGTGTAAGAAAGAAAGCATCACCACTGCGCACATGCTACGACCGATAGAAAAAGTGAGTTCCAATTTATAGCACTATTCTTCTCTGGAAGGTTCAAACTCGAAGCACCGTAAATCGAAGGAATATACGAGGGTCGTTGAATAAGTCCGTCACTTTCAATAAAAAAACACTATTTATTTAAATAATTCCACGACCTTATGATCCGCTGAGCAAACGGATCAAAACGCGCGAAACTGAATTCAGCATGAGGAGTAAATAGGTGAAAAAAAGATGACAGTGAGTAACGCACAACAACTTTAATTAACAAGATAAATCACAACAATTAAAATAAAAAAAAAACGAAACTTCAATACGACGATCTTGATGCTTGACAATTAATTTCTGCGCTTGCGAAAAAACGCACCCGACTGCCACCCAATTCGTCTCCTCTACTCCTATTACGTTCAACATCACAATCGAAACCCGTCCGTACAAATTTGAACGACGATTATGGTTGGTCGAGTAGCTAGCCCAAGTCCAAGCAACAACGGCGCTCGAAGCATGCGAGAAAAAAAGAGAGAAACTTAACACCGACCTTGTCTACTGGTTCCTCGTTTCTCTTCCGTCGTTATCACTCCAATGCTGCTATTGTTGTTGTCGTTGTTGATGTTGTTGTTACAGTTCCTGCTTCCCTCGCTGACGTTTCTCGGTGTTCGCGACAAAAAATGGCTGCTCGCAGCACTGGCCAGACACGCGTATCACCTCGTCGATATTACACGCGCACAGGTGTTGACTTTTCTTCTAAGTACGTGGCTGAGCGCGACCCAGCCAATAATACGATACAATTTCCCACGTACCTGATGCGTTTCCGTAAATAATAACTCTCGTCGGCGAGAACGCGGAAAACTTTTTACAGAAAAAATCGATAAAGAAAATGGCACTGTGCTGATGCTCAGTGTGATGTTCGTATCACTTATAAATAAAAATAATTCGAACTCTCGTAATCAAGCTAATGAGTAAGAATTTGTTTCTGATGATTTTACTCTAATTGTCAGGAAAATAGATAAATGAAACAAATATAATGAATAAGTAAATCAAATATATATAAGTAATTACAATATATCGAGGAAAATCAGACAATGCCCTAGTTTCTTATGGTGCGAATTGTCCCATAAGCAGAGCTAAAGTCTTTCTTTGATAGGATATAATTCGGCCCAAGTTTCTTATAGCGCGAGATGTTCTATAAGTCGAGCTCAAATTATAAGGAA